TGTGAGCTTTGTCATTTTCTTTTAGTTCTTAAATATGGTTTTGTTCTTCTTAACGATGCCGAGGGGGAGGCACTGTTTTTTGTGCTGGTATGTGTGTCATCAGCAGAGTTATTAACTGTATTCCAGTTGCAGGGTCCTTTGTTCCTGGATTGAAAACATCTACTAACTTCAACCTTGTGTTTTTAGACTAGACACAGAAAACCTCTCCTGTTTTTATAGAGTGAGCAGTATTAATCTGGAAGTCATTGAGAGAAACCAATAAAGAACTTCCTTGATGTGATTTTTGGAGTTATTCTATGGCACTGAATTACATGTTTTCAGGTATTGGACATAAGGGCACTTGAAAGCATTACAAACATTATGTACAGATGATAGTGAAAATGTTAGCAGTATTTATAGGTCAGTCAATAATGTCAGTATATTAAAGTGATATGAAATATTTCTTTGATTTCACAGATAGCACCTTACTGTATATGGCATACCACAGCAAGATGATTCTTGGTATGCATAGATGATAAGTTTAACTCTTTTATAAAGAATTTTTATTAATCCAGTTTCCCTGAAATCCCTTTTGAAAAGTACATTTATTACAGAACACATGCAATTGCTATCTGCCTAAAGTTATCTCTATTATAATGAAGTAAGCTTAAAAAAAAAAAAAAAACCCACACATTTAAAAAATCAAGTTTCAAATACAAAGGATCATTTTATTAGGCTGTTGCTGGAAATGTTCATCAGCAATTAGGGAAGTGTTTTTTCAAATAGAGTTTTTTTTCAGCTTGCTAGTATAAGCTCCAGAAACACGTGAGACTTGGACAGATGTAGCGTGTCCCAGGGCTGCAGGGTTGGGACCGTGACCTGAGCACAGGGCCCTGGGAGCGGGTTCTCAGCGGGGCAGCACGGCCGCCCAGTACTGGGCGAGGTAGGTGGGGACCTAAGGGAGGCAGCCGAAGGTGCTCTGTTAAGATGGTTTAACACCGTGTCATGGGGCAAGATATAGCCTCTCTTCTCTCTTGTGCCTGTGAAATGGGCGCAATGTTAATTAAATTGTCGTTGAGTTTCATTAGTGAAGTCCCACAAAACAAAAGAATGGCTCTGTAGTGATGCTAAAACTTGCTATGTTGTTTGTATTAAATGCCTGGGCAGACATCAGTATTCCTTAAGGCACTGCCTTTCCAGAAATAAGAAATATTTAGGTAAAATCGGAACAGAAATTTGATTACTTGCTAAAATAGGGACCTCTTCCCTCGTAAATAAGCTTAATTTTCTTCTGGACAAAACCGACCCCTGCACTTTTGCCCATATTCTTCCCAGTAAGTGGATCTGGCCAAAGAGCTAATCTGTCCCATTGAATTTCTTTTCTTCCTGTGTAGTTGAATGAAAATTGTGCATCTTTTGAAGAATAGTGACTGAAAGAAATATTGAGGACTGCCAGGACATCTACAGAAAAGCATAAGAAAACTACCACAACAGTGAAGACAAAGAGGCTCTGTTAACTCTTTCTTGTAGGTTGTATATATTAATAGTAACAACTGAAGTTTTGTATTTTTGCAGGGAAACACACAAGGCTTTGAATTGTATTGTTTTAATTGCAGCTAACTGAATGAATTTAGTAGAAAATCGCACACAGTACTTTGGTTGTTTAACTCTCTGGATGTGAGGCTTTGGGAACAGTTTGTTATTATAAAAGAACAGCACTAACAAAAAAATCAGCCAACATGTAATTGCTAGGCTGAGGGACAGTTTGGAGAAAGCTGATATTTATTTAGGAATTATTAAATAAAAAGTACTTAATACATGGATCATCTCTCACTGCCTGTACACTTCATACATTACTCATCTTAGACTTTATATTCTCTAGGACATTGCTTCCTACAATCAGTCCAGGAGTCAAAACCACCCACATTCAGGAAAGGAGATACCTGTGAATTTTTTATGATGGCTGTTTTGGTTATGACTAGGGACTCATTGAAAAATGTGAAGCTTCAGTTCTAAGCAAGGACTCTTGGACAGACTTTTAAAGGTGTTTCAGGTTCCTAAAATACACGTAAGCACCTAGGCCTTGATTCAGATATCTTGAATTCCACACATTATTTCCTGCTAATTAGATAGGAGATATTTAGATGGTGGCCACAGTGCCTTTGGACACYAAATATCCATTCCACCTCTTTTGGCTTGGAAGATGGAGCTGCAAGGGGAGATCTTTGTGATTTTTTTAATTTTCTGGTTATCTGGAGAAAAYTATTATCATTGGCCCAGCTCTTCACAACTGTATACAGTTTCCTCTCATTTCCAGGCAAGAACCAATAAACTGAAATTATTAGAGATTATCCTGCTCGGGCCTTTTAGCTGTGTGGGACGAGCATTTTGCCCTCCTGGTTTCCTTTGGCAGCTGAAGAGGACACGCACAACTCGGCACCCGTGCCTTGCTGCATTCCTGGAGCTAGCAGTTCATGTTGGTGGATGTGTTTGCTCACAGTCATAYATTCGGCAACCACCAGTGCCTCTTCATAGGACCCAGCTGCAGGGCAGCTTCACTGATGCAGGAACAGTTCTTCAGCTGGCTACGTAGCAAGGGAATGGGTAATGTGCTGCTGTAGCAAGAAAGGTACATACATATCCTTCTGAGTGGGAGGTCATTGATGGTTGGCAGATGATGGCACGGCAACAGACATGTGTGTCATTACGTGGGTACTGCTGCATGCATTGTTGGGTTGCACTTTGCTGCCCTGTACCAACGGTGCCAGATGACATTTGTTCTATACAAACAAACAAACAAAAAAGCTATGAAACCAATTAAATAGTGTTTATGCARCTTGGTAGAGGCTTAATTTTATGACTTCATCTGCAGGCCTGTTAGCTTACTATGTCCACATCAGGCTGCAGACTCTCTTTTATTCCCATAAAATAGTAGATTTACAGTAAGGTCTGGTTGAAATAATGTGAAGATTATAACACTAATCCTGGGTATCAGCCTAGCTGGTGTGAGACCCTGTTGTGTGAAAGGTGCTTCAGAGGTGATTGAGCAGAATCTGGCTTTGCATAGCTCTTACCTAGAGTTGGTCAGCCTCCTTGTAACTTTTTTCTGAGGTTAGAAAATATATTTTCCCAAATAACCTATTTTCCTGAAGAGGACATAGCTGTATTTTTGAAAGGTCTTGACTTTTAAGGTAAATCTGTTCTGTGTCAATGTTGCCTGGCACACTTTCAATGGTGGTTTTTAGTAATTTAGAAAATACTGGAGCTGCATGCATCAACAACAACAAACAGCTTTGAAAATGTTAGTATGTTCAGGAAAATAAGTCTTCACTTTTAACCCTGTTCTGCTAGTCTCTCTTGGATACCAAATTTCATAGCAAATACTATTTATTTTAACCAGTGCAATGTAAGATCAACATAAGATAGTGTAGAGCTTCCACAGCAAAAGCCCTGCTCTTTCCTGCTTGGGGGCTAATTCGCAGTAGTGCTAATGTGCGATGTCAGCCTGGGCTTTACAGGAAAGCCTGTAGTTGATGTTTGCACACGATGGAAAAGCTGCAAGAAGCTTTGCTCATGACAAAGGCTTGTGCTCATTTCACTTTTTTTTTTTAATTCTCCTTCTGGCAGAATATGGAAAAGTTGCTGGATTAAAAGCCCCCAGATTATGAAATTTATTGTACTGGAGGCATTCAGAATATGGAGCCTTTCAAAACCCTKTGAGTTCATAGTACTTAAAGATAACACAGTATTGCCAAAAATGTKGTCTTGTTGAGGCCCATAACTAACTTTATCTCATGAAGGAATCTTATTTTTGTCAGCTACAGACAGAAGATACATCTCAGAACAGCCTAAAGTTAAAGATAGATTTAGCGTCTGGTTCAGATCACGATATGAAGAAGGATTCAGGTTAATTGGTATTTATTCTTAGTTTATAGTTCTTCCTTTTGGCTTGAGATGGCAGGCAGAAGTTGGAGTTGCTGGGAGGAGAAATTAATGACAGCGACTGGTCACATTTCACTTCAAAACATGACACTTCAAAAGGCCATTTGGTCCCCTGAGGGCAGCAGCCAGAGGGATGGATGGAGCTTAGGTCAGGATTGATTCTTCCCAGGAGGTGGCAGAAAAGTGGAGATTTCCCCAGCCCTCCTCGATCTGGTGCCCAGTCACATCTCCAGGCTCACGGTGGTGCTTACGATCCGTCCTGTGTGTTGCAATTCTTGGGTATTTTCAGTCTGGCTGTGGGATTGCACAAGGCGTGGAGGGAGCTGTCCGAGCCGCTCGTGGCCGTCACTGTTGCTGGAAAGAGGTCAGCCTTAAAAAAAAAAAAAAAAAAACTTTCCAAAGCTCGTTTGAGGTTTTCGATTCCCCTTTCTCATCAGCACTTTCTGCAGCCTTGTAAAGGCTTTACCAGTAACAACCAGACATTGGGAGCAGCCGTTTATCTTAAATGTTGCTATTCTCTGTGAGGCCTCTGGGATGCAATCCCCAGCTGGACACTGACTTCCCATGGGGCAGAGCAAAGCCACCTCTGCYTCCCCATGGGGACTGGTGCTCATTTGGGTACTAAGCTTTGGCCCCAGTCTGGAAGCTTCCACAGTTTCCAATTTTAGAGTTTTTTTTCTCTATTCAGTTAGAGTTGAAATACTCTGAATCGGGCTCTCTTGTCCATTTGAGAAGAGTAGCCTTTAGGATTTTCTGATAAATGCTTTTATTTCCCCATCAAATGTTTGCACAGGAATTAACTTTCTTATTTTTAMTATATATATTTTTTTCCTTTGGCAAAGACTTTCTCCTCAGTGAGCCCCACCAGGTGCCCTGCCCGGGCAAGTCCTAGGCAGAGGGCGGGCTTAGAACTCCTGGCTTGCACCCATAGGCTGCCAGCCCACCCCACCCATGCTGTGATTGGCTGGGCACTGCTCGCAGAACAGTTGCCAGTATCCTTTCTGAGGCAAGAGTGGCAGTTAGGATTTAAATTTGGGTGTTGGCAGGGGGGTTGCTAGTTACCTTTGTGAGGTAACGGTGGCAGTTAGAATTTGAATTTGCACGTTAGCTAGCGCCTGTGAGACTAGTCTGGGAGTGTTTTGGTGAGCTGCTTTGGTTTGCTGTCTATTCTTTAAAATTTCAATGCTATTTAAATTCAGTTCCCTAAAAATACTTCTGGTAGCCCTCTTTCTTTTTGCCTGTCCTAGATTTACTCTGTGGAGGAGTTAAAAAAAAAGCATTAATTCCCCTTTCTCACCTGACTGCTACACGATACTGCATTCCTGTTAGACTGAGATTGAATTCTCAATCTTAATCAGTGTTTTTTTTAATGGCAAATTGGATGCAGCTGAATTAGCCCTGCATATGTTGTGKTTTTGAATGGAAGGTTACTTGTAGTGGGGAAGGAAAAGGACCTTCAGAGTTGCATAAAAGCAAAATCTGTGGTAATTCTATCTTTGAAATGTAATGGGAATCTCTGGAAATCCTCTCGGCTTCTAGAGAAATGATGAATCAGTAATAAAGGGGGTTTACGGGCAGATTTGGAGAAGCTAAATGGATGATTATTTAGTTAGGTTATCTACAGTGTCCTTTGAAATGCCCCTCTTCTCTATCAGGTAGATTATAGGCTTCTCCTGAAACAGTGAGTTGAAGTCTCCTTATATTGATCAGGGCACAAAGGTGCTGATCCTTGCAAAACTCATCATCAGCTTCTGATCTTGTATCCAAGCAGAAAGTTAAATGGACAAAGCTCATTACTTGTAGCGCAAAAAAAAAATCCTAAATTTAAGCCAAATTCCATTTAAAAAAAAAAGTTAGATTTAGAAGCCCTATTTCAGGGCTTCTTGTGCCCTTTTTAAGAAGTTATTTAAAAAGAGAAGTAACATGCTTTATGGCTGACTTTATTAGGGAAGGTTTGTTATGGCCTGCTGCATTGTTGATAAAGACATACTACTGTGGCTAAATCCAAATTAAATCAGGTGTATTCCATGTCGTTGTCTTCTCCAGTCAGCTGATTTGTCAACATAGGAGACCATTTGGGACAGATGACCTTGTTCCTTCAGACTCTGCCTCAGAGCTGCATAGAGCTATGTCTTGTTCCCTCTGGGTGCAGACAACTTAGTATAGGGTCTTTGCTTCTCCTACCAACCAGGGTCAGGATGGCATCTTCACGCTTCTTATGTACGCATGGTGCAGACAGATGGGCCTGGCAGGTCATTAAACCGGCTTAAAACTGCCTTTGTGTCCTCTTTCCCTGCTCCCTTCCTCCGTTACTTAATGAAGTCACAGAACCACAGAATGTTTGAGATTGGAAAGGATCTCTAGAGATCATCTAGTCCAACTCCCCTGTTCCTGCAGGGACACCTAGAGATGTAGCACAGGGTGGCATCAAGGCCAGTTAGAAGATCTCCAGAGAAGGAGACTCCACAGCCTCCCTGGGCAGTCTGTTCCATGGCTCTGCCACCCTCACAGTCAAGAAGTTCTTCCTCACATAGATATGGAACTGCCTGTGTTTCAGTTTATGCCCACTACCTGGCATTATGATCCCGTCACTGGCCACCACTGAGAAGAGTTTGGCCCCATTCTCCCTACATTCTTCCCTGAGGTACTTATRCATATTGATCAGATCCCCTCCCAATCTTCTGTTTTTTTAGGCTAAACAGGCCTAGCACACTTAGTCTTTCCTCATAGGATAGAGGCTCCAATCCCTTCATCATCTTTGTTGCCCTCCGCTGGACCCTCTCTAGAAGCTCCACATCTCTCTTGTCCTTGGGAGCCCAGAACTGCCCACCGTACTCCAGGTGCAGCCTCACCAGAGGGGCAGGATCCCCTCCCTCGCCCTGCTGGCAACACCCCTGATGCAGCCAGGATCCCATTGGCTTTCTTGGCCACGAGGGCACTGCTGTCTCATGGTTAACTTGGTGTCAACCAGGACTCCCAGGTCCCTCTCCACAGAGCTACTTTCCAGCAGGTCAACCCGTAACCTGTACTGGTGTCTGGGGTTATTCCTCCTCCGGTGCAGGAGCCTGTACTTGCAAGGTCAGCAAATACCTGCAAATCACCTGTGTTTTGTTTCTCCTCAGATAAAAGGGAACACCAATCCCACCTGTTACCTGTGTGTTGGAAACATGAGGGTAAAGACAGATCTGGACCAAACTCCAAGTACTGTGACAGCTACTGGTAAGCTCAGAAATTAAGCCTTATGTTGATTTCACTGTTGAAATCTAACTACACTTATGGACTGCTTAAAAATATCTTTTTCTAGTGCTGAACATGGATATAGATGTCAGAGTTAATGTTCAAGTAATTGTAACTTTTTTCAGTTTTCAGAGTGTTTTCAGAGTGTTTTCAGAGGTTTTCAAAGTGTGCTGTTCATTTAAGATGAAGTGTGTACAATGTGGTTTTCTGAATGGTTGTCTCAGGCTTTCTATAGATTCAGGAAGACTACTGAACTGTTGGCAAGTACATAGTAAAGAAGATGTGGTTGAATTACTATTTTGAAATAGCTCTCCCAATATGTGGATTAGTGTTTACTGCTATTCTTTTAACTGATGGCTTTGTTTCTCCAGTATAAATTTTATGTCAGTGTCTCTGGAATATTATAGCAAATATGTATGCTATAAGTAATATATTTGCTAGAGTGGTATGCTAAATAATCCTTTTATGTTTCTAGAATTTCTGAAAGGAGTACAGATAGCATATTCATTTTTAATCATATTCTATGGTAATTGCATGTTTCCATCAGCATCTTAACACCTTCCTAGGAAATGCTTTAATTTTCTCTTTTATTACATTTTTTAAAAAATTTTAAGTGTATGCCACTGATGTGAGATAAAATAAATGTAGGTACTGAAGGGGAGTAGTTAAAACTATTCCTGTGTGTTAGAGTGTTCATGAAGTCTTTTCACACTGCAGGCCATTACAAAAAGGAAACAATTCTATAGCRCAGAAAACCTGTGACTTTCAACTGTTTTGTGTGTGTGTGTGCAGAAGAAAAAGGTGAAAGCTACTGTTTAATTAAAAATAATAATAATAAAAAAAAAGCTTCTGGTTTTAAAGGTAAAAAGGATTATTTAAAAACAAACAAAAAACAAAACAAAAAAACCCCACAATTTTCTCTGGCCCTCCACGCAGGCCAGAATCCAGTTGGCTCTAGAAAAGGAATGGGAGATGCCTTGGCCTCCCAAACATTAGGAGCTTCCACTCAGTGATTATCCCAAGCTCATTCCTGTAAAGGGCTAAGTCTTTGCTTAGGGCCCTCGTGCAGAAAAATGGAACAAGAATGAAGTGCAGCATATGCAGGATTGCTAGTGCATTTCAGAAAGTCCATAAGCTTTCAGCAGTGCTCTATGCAAGCACAGTGCATGTGCCAAAGAACATGTATTTCTTGAGGTAACACTTCACAATGTTATACTAGTTTCTGAACTTATATAATTACTATCAKGGTAAAAATGTACCTGGAAGTTCTGTTTTGTTTTGTTTTTCCTTTCTGAAAGACTTCTGTGTGCTGTTTTTAGTGCTTTGGTGTAGAGCTATGCTTCTGTCATGTGGTCTCTGTAAAGAGAGTACTCCTTAATAATAAAAACTTATCAGTATGAAAGGGGATCTAATGCTGGCCTGGCACTTATTTTGCCTGCTGCCCACCAGAGAGCCACTCTGAAGTAGATGGTGTTGTCAAAAAAAAAGAGAAATTATCTGCCAATTTGGCAAATTTCTAGTATGGAAGATTGTGCTTGAAACAAGGTCTACTTGGAAGAGCTCCGAAGCAGTATGTTCACAAATATCCAATGTTGTCCTTTTCTTTTTGCTTTAATTTGATCTTTCTGCCATCTTGGTGGGAGGTCCCCTTTTTTGTGTTTCTTAATACTTAAGAACTGAATATAACTTTTAATATGTTTACGAATTCTCCAGCATTTATAAAATGACCTTTTGCTGCTGTACTGAATGGTTTCCCTTCATTAATGATGCACTCAGTGTTAGACTGTATGAATTATTTTTTTTGTCACAGATGCACTTTCTTTCAGGAAAGTAGCCAATTGTAGAGAAATCTTGGAGATAACACATGTTAAGAAGAGTTTTGAAAGAATAGTAAAATAAGATGTGTATTGAAATGTTTCACTTTCTTTCTATAACCGTTTTTTATCCCCTTTTAACACCTTTAGTGTTAAAGTTCATGCTGTCAGCATTGATACCTTGCTGGCTCTTCAGATTCCTGGTGTGTTTAACTGCTGTGCATTCAGAAGGGAGTATGTGATTAGTGTCATTGCAATTTGTGGGAAAACAGAAGTCACTTTTAGACCAGTATGTGCCATGTTTCTAGAAAGCACTCGCAATATAGGGAGCGGGCAGATGCTGTAGTGCACATGGAGCCTAAGTAATTCTGTGCAGGATCCTCATAGAGATGAACCTACCTGTAGACAGTGAGTAAAAATAGCAGTCCTCTGCAACTCTGAGGCCTGTGCTGTTTGAAAGGAAGTGAAAGACGGGTCAAAGTACTGGGTGCTTGCACTCAGGTGTCCGTGTATTCAGAGAGCCAGCTGAGCAGCCTGTTGTACTCTGGTGTTGTCCTACATTGTCTACATTGTYCTACATTGTCTRCATTGTCCTAGATGAGCTGCTGGGTATCTCCTCAGTAACTGTTTTCTCTTTCCAAGCCTCCTAGACAGTATGCTTCTGTCCTCCCTGGGGCCCTGGAGACACATTCAGGCATGTGGTCTCTCCTTTTCCTTTATTGCCAGGAGAGTTACAAAAGCATTCCAGCAAGCTACTTGTGCTTGCGTAAGCTCTAGGCAGAACATCCCCAAAAGCTGCAGCCACCTTCCCATCTTACCTTAACTCTCCAGACAAGGGTGGAGAGGAAGCAAGAAGAGAAGGATGTTTCCAGAGATTCCAACATGGTGTGATACGCAGATTACCTCTCCCTGCCCTGTGACAAATATGGTACAGGCCACAAAATGCTATAATCCTCGTTGTGGTTATTTTCTTTTCCTTCTTCCATTTTTGTAATTTTTTCCTCCCTTGCTGAAGGGGTGGGGTTTGGGGACTAACTAATTATCAACAGTTCAGTGGCAGATGCTATTGTGAAAATGGTTTGATGTTGACCTAACTTGGAATAGAATTCTCTTAAAGGTCTAAGCAAACATTTTCCAACCTCTACATGATACTTGATTTATGCTGAAGTCAGCCTACACAGTCATGAAAGCATTAACTCTATTTGCAAATGGTTGCTCCTTGCTCAAGATGATACCTGTGGGCCTTATAGTTATCTTGTATTAGTAGTCATTGGTGTGTTTAAAAAAGACATTAGCTATTTTAAGTACCTAATAATATTTTCTAATTATGAGTTAAAGATAAGGTTGGTGATAGTTACCTATTTCTTTGCTCTGTACAGTTAACATACAGTCAATTGCTTCGTTTTTTTTTGTTTGTTTTTTTTTTTTCCTCATGTAGAAATCGCACTAACATTAGTCATGTAAATGCTATAGTGTTTTGAAATAAGCATTTATCAACATATCCTATTGTGGTTTATTTTTAGTCTCCTGATGTGATTGACTAGTGTCTCATATGATCATGACCTTTGTCAGTAGAGCAAGGAGAGTGTGTCATCACCCTCTAAGTTGGTATTCTTGTTAATTGTTGTCAGACCATGATATTCACATGTCAAACCCTAAACTCTAACTGTAACACTGCAGATGAGAGAGCTATCACTTGAGTCCTTACAGTTAACCATCTTTTCCAGGTGCTTTTAGTTTAGCTTCCAAGGGGACACTTCTGGTGCCTACAGAAAGTTTGTGGTGCTTAAGATGCCCGAGGACACACTGAACTGCAGATACAGCTGCTGAAGAGCAGTGGCCTGCCAAATGTCCCAAGCTGTACCCGTGAGCCTCATGCTGGTACTGCAGGTGCCCTGGATGGCTATGCTGTTTYGCCCAAACAGCTTGGGCAACTAAATCTCACTGTGAGTGCTTCTGCCAGCTATTGCGCTGGATGTTATTGGGAAATATTTACAATGCGTAGCTGCCTGCTGATACTTTCTAGGAGCTCCGCATGCCTCTGACTGAGCAGTGCGGACTCCTGTCTTACTTATTCTGCAGCTACTCTGATGCTATTCTCTACAGCATTGCCCACTGCAAGTTTGGTAATTCATGCAGTTTTCAGAGCTGTGTTTTATTCCTGATGCTCCTTGGAAAAAAAATTCTTTCCATGGGTATGTCTTGCCAGCAGAAGATGGTGGAAAGTCTAAAACCTGAAGATAAAACTTCTGTGCTTTAAGGTTTATTGAATTTGTCTTTTTACGAATAATGGAAACTTGCAGGTCAACAGCTTGGATTTCAGGCCTGTAAAGCTATTATGCAAAATAACCATTGGGTGGTTCAGAGCTGTGTAGGCTGGAGTGGTGGTCTGTGGGATGTTGCGGGTAGACCAAAGAAAGCTACTTGGTCTTAATCTCCTTTCTGTTTGCAATAACAGACTGTATATAGAGAAAGCCACATATATTGTGATACTTTCTCAATACTGAACTGTTTTTCTCTATAGTAATTTCTGTAGCTGTCCCAAGAGTAGAATGCAAGCTCTGAATGTGGGAATGCGTTCATGAAACATCTCATCTATTTGTGAAGAAGTTTGAGAGTTAGCTGACAGGTTTAGCCTTCCAGAGAGCTGGCTAAGGCCACCTGTGGGACAACATTTGTGTGATCGCTCCATGTTGTAAGAAATTTCATCAAGCTGAACTGAAGGGACTAGGCAGAACTGAAGGTGATGTGTGCAGCTCCAGGGCACTTTCACACAGTCTTTCACCCAAGCGGCCCATTGCCACTTCAGGGAGGCTTCCCCTTATGTGTAGGGCTGTTACCTCTCTACCATCTGCCATGGGCAGATGCTGTTCCTGACATGCCTTTCCAGGGTGTGTAGGGTGTAGAACTGAGTTCCTGCTTCCATGACTGACTGACTAGCCTGGATACTTTCCCTAGAAGCTGCCCAGGAAATGTTTAATTCACTATGGTTGATATTTTCAAAATAGATTTAAGTGATCTGTTCCCACTCATCACTATTTCCGTCTCACCATGGAGTGCTGCACATCTGCTCAGTTTGAGTACTGTGCTAGTGTGAGTACTTGCTGGGGTCACCCAGACTGCACTGTGTCAGAGTATGTGCTTTCCATGTCTTTCCTAGCCTGGCTT